AATCCTCAGGGAATCATTGGGAGCTGCTTCCTCCTCAAAAGAATCGCGTATTGACGCAACGTTTAATTGTGCAATTACACGTGTGCGTTCTTCTCCTGGGCTTTGCTGAGCAGGGCTCTGTGGCTGGAATGCTAATGGGAAAGCCACTGATACCATCTCATGGCACGGGCAGCCTTGAATGCAGCCTCCCCCTAGGTGCCTTCCTCCATGGTCTGTCCTGGGCTTCTCAGGCAGGAAATCAAAGATGGGAATTTCAGCCGAGTAAGGACTGGAATTTGGGCTGGAGCCCAAAACTATGGCCCCTGTTGGTTTGTTGTAGCTGCCCTTGGTGGAGGCAGGAGGTTCCAGTGCCCAATCCCTGCTTGGCACTGCCTGGAAGTTGTGGCTGGCAGGTATCAGATGGGATTCTGGTCAGGCTCCCTGTCTGTGAGCTGGAAATATGCCTGCAAATGCCTGGCCAGTGGCCTCTCCTGCTCCTGGTCCACTGCCTGATGCCCACATGCTGCACATGCCTTTGCGGGATTGAGTCTTCACAGAAGTTATGCTGAAAGCATTGCTTCAAAGCTACTGTGAAGTGCTCTGCACGTGTATTTCTACATATGTATGTACCTAAATACACCCATATGCACTTGTTTGGCCAGGCCCTGCTTTCCAAGAGCTGCATTTGCTCTAAAGTTTGCCAGGTTTTTCAGATGCTGCATGTGTGCCACCTCTGACTTCAGGGGCAGGTGATGGGAGTTGGAGAGCCTCTGTGTTACTGTCATGTCTTGATTCAGAAACTGAACTCTGATTGCATTCATTTGTCTCATACTAATTGACCCTGATGGGAGCAGGTTGTGAAGGAACATGGATTAGCTCCTCACTTGCTGCCTTTGGGAGGTGTGGTAAAAGTTGGGATTTACCTGCCAGTAAATAGAGGGGCTGGTTAGGTGTTAGATGGCAAAAAATGCAATCCTCCTCCAGCTGGCTTTGGATCCTAGGATTTTTTTGGGGTCAATATGTTTTCCAGTACATTACTACTAATGGTTTCAACATCAATTCTTCTTTCCCACCAGCATTTAGGATGGAGTTTCCAGATGGGTAATCTTAGCTGCCAGCCACTTGTCCCTTCACCATGGCCACAGACTACCAAGTGAACCTTGCACTGGGCCTCACCATGGGTCCTGTGGCAAGTGGCCATCCCATTTTTTAAAACCCTTTAAAACTCTTTAAAAGAATGCTTTAAATGCATCCACCACATTTTACCTATTGCCTTCAGGAAAGTGAAAAGGAGAGGCTTTTGTCAAGTTGTTAAGTCCTGGCTGATGTTATGGGCTCCTGGCCTCCAGGTCCCTCTGCTCATGTTCTCTTCCTGTTTCTCTGAAAGTTTTAAGTCAGGACAAGCTGCAGCTAGTCATGTTGGCAAAAACTAGTCCTTCTTGACCCTAGTTCCTCCTAGTCCTAGATTCAAGTGTTTGCTCCCTGCAGCCAAAATATTTGCATCCCCCTGAAAGCAGGAGAGTCAGATTCATTGGTCCCATGCAGGACAGGAAAACACGCTTTATTCCTCTGCTTCATGGCAAGGCTGAAAAAAACCAAAAGAAAGTAGTGGGCAGCTGTGGTTTTAGCTGACAGCTGAAAGGGGCTTTGCTAGCAGAAGTCCCCAGGGAAGAGACTAAGGAGGCTGCTGACACAAGTCAGGAAGGGGCTCTCTCTACATTTAAAAAGCAGAGGAATTATAAATAACATGCTGAAGATACAGATAAAGTTACCCAAGTTATTTTGACCATAAATCTCAGGACAGCAAAGGCCCTTAATCTCTCAATAATCAACAAGAAGCTGGAAGAGGCCATACAATGAGTTCAGCTGCCAAAGCTGCTGTGCCCTTTTGCTCCATTTAATTTAATTGTATTAGTCCTGCCCGCAGCCTTTGTTCTTCCACCCTGCTCAGGAAATCTGCTGCTGGGTTTGGCAGGGCTCACTCTGGTTCCACATGGCTGGTTTGTGGACAGCCAGGAGGGATTAGCGGGAGAGCAGGAAGGGGAAGAGGATGGGGGAAAGTCCCACAGGAGCAACCTGCTTGAAGTACTTCATTTATCTTAATAGTGCCACTGCATCCCTTCCTGGTGAGGCTTCCTCCTGATAAGCCAAACACAAATCTGAAAAGTACTCTGGCTGATGTCAGCAGAGATGGGAGTTCATGCTTAAATTTTAAAATAAAAAAACAGAGACCACAAGCAAGCTCTTGTTCAGCAGGTGCTAGCAGCCCAGAAAAGCATTCCTACCACCACCTTCCTTGGTTTCACTTCATCTCTTAAATGAGCCAACAAAGAAATGCAAAAGGTGGTTTCCAGGACACAGGTGAGTTTTGTCAAATTTCAGCATTTGTCCCTGTTGAAGTATGAGATAGCAGAGCAGCTAACTGGAGGGTGTACCTTCCTTACCTTTCCATCAAGGAATGACAGTTCTTAATGTGTGGAAAAAGATGGAGCACTTGCAGAAAGATGTGCTTAGGAGAAGTGATTTTCTGATGACTTTGCTTCAGGCTTGTGGGGGAAACAGCATTTTGAACTCCATATTTTACTGTATTTCTCTGATTTCAGGAACCAGCCATATAAAATTCCACAGATTTGTTATATCAAGCGCAACTTTTCCCAAAAATATACATTGTCAAGGCTCTCTCCCTTTCACAGCAGTGAATTAACTATGAAGTAAGCACAGGGCACTGTTTGCTTATAGTTTTACAGAGTGATCCCTCTGTCATTGCTTACTGTAATTCTTCTTGGATGTGAAGAGTAAAACATATTTACATTGGTATGTGGGATTCTGGACAACCTCAGGAAAAAGTAGGGCTGGAAAGGAAGTTCTTCTGGCTGATGAAAAATTTTGAGATATGTTTTTTACATATCAGAATGAAAGCTTGAAATAGAGAAACTCCCAGAAAAAGAAGAAAAAGTCAAGAAAAAAAAAAAGATCACCACAACCCCCACACACACATTTAGCCAGCTGCAACTACTTATTTCAGTTATTTTATCCTTTTTATTTTCTTAGTAAATTTACTTTATGTTGCAATGCAAAGTAGAAATTCTGTATGTCTTGGATAAAAATTTTTGTCCACAAATTTGATTTCAGTACTTTGGGAACTGCTTGGCATATATAATTTTAATTTAGAAAGTGGCACTCTGCTGCACTAAAAATGAAAAGTAATGATCCAGTAAATGACTAATTTTGTGGTCTGAGTTAATTAGTGAAGCAGCTTGCCAGATAGAAGGCAGCAGGTCTAAATTACTGTGCTAAGTCCATTTGCAGAAAGATAATATCTAGCTTTGTTGTTTTAATAATAATTAATGAGAATTATAATATTCAGCTGGGATTTTTGCTGTTACTATTAGCGGGAATATGTGTGTGTGTATATATATATGTATATTTATATTTTTCTCTGATGCTTTTCTTGCTTGTTTGCATCTCAATCCTTGACTGTCTTGTTCTGTGGCTTAAAGAAATTATTCAGACTGCACCTTTGTCTAGCATGGAGGAAACTTGAGGCTTCTACAATTGGTGCTGCTGGTTATTTCATGAAAAACATGCACCATAGACTGGCAAGGAAATCAGCAGTAACAAACCAGGCAATAAGCAGTGTCTCATCGGCAGGCTCACCAGGAGCATCAGCTGGGGGCTCACAGCTCACTTTTACATTTTATTTTTGGCAGCACAGGTTGTTGGGAAGGCAGGGATGGCACACTCATCTCCAAGTCTGCATAGATCTGCAAAATTCAAAGCCTTCTCTGGTGAAATCTAGATATTACTTTTCTGAAGTCCAAAATGCTTAAATTTGGATGCCTCCAAGGCACCATGGTGCCCTACATGACACCAGCCTTTGGTGTCTCTGCTGGGCATTTCCACCCCAAACCTGCTTCCTGTGTTTGGTTTTAATCACATGTTTTCGGAAACCCTACAACTAACTGGGTTCTCATGATGGGGGAGAGTTTTAATGAGCTGGTTTAGTGGCTAATTGCTCTCACTGTTAAAAAAAGCTTCTCTCTTTGTTTTCAGCTTGACTTCCCTCAGTTTCAGTCTTCCAAGCCTGGACTTTACCCTACTGCATTTGTTAAAATTAAAGCCCTTTGGAGTGTGGAATCTTCCCACATACCCTGAAAGACTAGGAAGAGTAATTTCCTAATCTTCTCTTTTAAGAGAACAGTGATAACTGGGGACTAATTATGGGCTCTATTGACTTTTTCATGTTTGTGGTTTTTAGATAAGTCGTAATTGTTCCTTTTTATCATTGTACAACTATAGTTAATAATTTCTGTTCCCTGTGCCTACACCGCTACTTCTGTTAAAGATTCAATATCTGGGGGCTCAGAGAGATAGTTGATATTGGTTTGGTAGTTGATATTGGTTTTGTTTGGGGCACCTTTGGAGAAAAGTAAGTGCATCAGTCAAAATGCTGTTGACCTTCCCAGAAGATTTTGTAGTCATGTTTTTATTTTTAATGCCTCCTTTTCAAATGGTATCATCTCTCTGGTGGATTTAGTTCTGCTTGTAGGCTGTATTCTACCATCCTGAATCATCTTGAGTACTTTCCTTAAGTTAATTATTTCACTGAGAAATTTCAAAGAGTGAGATGGTACTTAGACTAATGAAATTGGGGATTAGACAGGGATTAGATGGATTCTAAAAAGCAGATGATGTGCTTTCTGTGGGAAGATTTATAAACTTCATTAAAACAAGAAAAGCTCTTTCCCCCTGACACTTGGAGATTTAAAAGCATTGTATTATACCCTATTATTAATAAAATGATAAACTATATTGATAAAAATAGCCATCTTTTGCTGAAATTTCAAATTGTGGTCATATCCAAACCCTCTATGAAAGGATGTGAGTTCTTTTAATGCCTTATGTACTGTGACTTGAAGAAGAATTGTTCCTCATCCAAATGCCCAAGCCTTTGCAGGATGGAGGTATAAATACCTTGTTTATGGTATTTATCTAGATACCTCTTTTTTTTCTGTTTGCAGTGTTTATGTTCCTACATATGTTGGGTTGGTGGGAAGTCTCATCAACACCTTCATAGCAATGGCTTGGATCCCTTCTCAGACTAAACCAAAGTCAGACCATCATGTGACAGAGCACAGTGAGTATTTTGTGTTTCTGATAAATAGTACATGAAAAGGGACAGGGGATTGACATGCTGCAAGAACTGCTTGGAGATGATTTAAGGGCAAAAAGGTCCCAGCCTTGAGATGCTGACGCTTCAATGTCTAAGCTGAGCTTATGGTAGAGGATTATTCCAAATATATTGATCACTGCCATGTAGAATTCCAGTCTTCCAGCCCAGACCTGTGTCCCAGAAAAGGTGATTGTGGAGCCCTTGCTGGGGGTTAGTTTGGTCTGACAGGGGAGGAAACCCCACTGTCTCAGAGGGTTCCTCTGCATGCAGACCTGGCACCAGCTCCCAACCTCCTGCCATCGGCATGAAGCTGCTGCAGCAGAGATGTGGGTTTTGGGTGGGTTTTGAAGATGAACAGAGTCTCAGTTTCCTGCTTTCTAGCCATAACCTGTATAAACAGAGCATTAACCCATATATCACCCTCTGCAGGCACATCACAGTCTGGCAGCTTGTTTAGCATCAGAGAAATCCTGCACCTGATGAAGTTTCCAGGCGTAATGGAAGTGTTCATAGTCAAGGTCTTTGCTGGACTTCCCATAGGTAAATCTCTCCCATTACCCATGATTGCTGATGTATTTAGAATAGGATGATGTACACTGTAGGCCAGGCTTGTCTCAAGCTGCTGCAAGCACACTGCTTTTGATCACAGAGCAGTGAGGATTCACCTTCTAACTTGATGCTGGATGCTTTCAGGTAGTCTCATCTACACAGGGTCAAAAGTCTGGGACTTATTGTCCTACACACCACTTGTCATAAGCTGCATCTGGGAGTTTTGGCAAATTACTTAATGTCTCCATCCCCCTCACTGCAAATGTTTTTTCCTCTTGTCTATCATTTCTCTTTGGGCTGTAAGCTCTTCAGAGCAGAAGAAAATTGTTTGTCCTGTGGCAGGAAAACTGAGGTCCTTCCCAATTTTACTTAGGGATTTTAAGGTGTATGTGTATCCTAAGTTTTTTCCTAGCATTTAAAAATTGATAGATGAGAGGGCTGAGCTGCACACAGGGGATCCACAGCATATTTCCCCCCTTGCACACTGATGGGGGTGCTTGTTCTTCTCTTCCTTATATATTCTGCTGGGGGGGTTTTGGTCATGGTAGGAATTTGCTGATCCCTCAAACCTTTGCCAAACCCATCTCTTTCCCTGCTTCCTCTGAGTCAGTTGCTGTCCTGCCAGGGTTCATATCTCCCTATTTGCCTGACTCTGTTTCCCGGGGCACAATTTTGCCTTCAGTTTTGCCTACCCTCTAACTTCTTTCCCCATACACTTGACTAGAGACAAGCTGAATGTCATCCTCATCAGTGATGTGTAAGGACAGGGTGATGTTCTCTGCCCTTCCACATACAGCTTCACTGCTCTTTTTGCAGTCAAACCCAAAAAGTCCAGTTTCTCTTCATGATGATTTCAAGAACTGAGCTTTGTGCACATAGTAACACGTGTGTATCATGCATCTAAACAAACTAAGGCACTTCCCTTCCAACAGGGATCCTAAAAGGGGACTTAAGGCACCCTAGCTTTTAGACTTTGCATCTTTTCCCAATTCATTTTTGTCTGGAGAAGCCCTTGAAGTTTAAAGAATGTGAAGCATGATTTACAAATTAAAGGCTAATTTGTAAACTGTAAATTCAGTTTACAAATGAAAGTAAATTTGGCTGTGGAGTGTGGCTGAATCAGGAGAGGGTGGCATTCCTGAGCTTGGTCAGGTTCATCTGCTATTTCTTGCTAGATCTCTCGGGGGGAATGAGTCCAACTGGAGCTGGAAGTAAAGGATTTCTGGCTTTTTTTCCCTTGCTGTGTGTAGCTAGTACTGGCTGAGATCAGTAATGCCAGTTGGTCCTACCCCTGCCACTGGAGACAGGATACAGGATACAGTCTCACTGCTGGCTTGACCTAACAGTGCAATTTTTTTGGCTCTTAAGACAATACACTTCCAAAACTGCACTCCAAAAAGTGTATAAAATTACAGCATTTCACACAATGAAAAGATGTTTTAAAAGGGTTTTCTTAGCTGATTCTGACTATTTTCTCATCTTAAAGCATTCATTTCTCTGTTAAAAATGCCTGAGACTGCATCCATGTGAGCTTCCCACAGTAATTTCCTGTGTGCTCACTTTTTTCCACAGGCCAGGCAAAATGCACTTTGCTTTACACATTCCTGCCGAAATGCAAATTCCTGCCTGTTACAGAATCCATTCTTCTTTCCCGTGCCAAGCAAAAATGCTCACTGCACCGAAATAAACATCTCCTGCCCAAAACTGCAAGGCAGTTTCTAGGCAAAGAGGATGGAGACAGTGAAGCTGGGATTTAAGGCAGGCTAATAGTCTGTCACTGAATGCCTGGGAGTTTTTCTGTAAGGGTAGGAGAAGGTTCACTTGGGGCATTCCTGCTGTAGCACTCACACTACAGTGAGGAGTGTGATTAAAATCCTAGTGACTTATCTTTGCAGGGCTCTCTTCACTTCAGGTCACTGACCATCCTGATGGCAGCTAAAAGGGGATCTGGCCATCACTAATTCTCTGCAGCTCACAGCTGGAGGCTGATCTCCTCATGAGCTCATTTACCTTTCATCCCCAGGCTGCAACTCTGTAATTTATTAGATTGCCCAAATTACAGACCGTTTTCTATTTACTTTGTAAACAAGTTTGTGATAAACAGCAAAGAAAATCTTTTGTTCCTTATGGATCTCATTGTTGTCTAAAATTAGCTTGTTTGAGACTGAAAGAACCTCCCCAGCAGGGCTGCAGGGCTGGGAACCTCCTCCCTGTGCTGCATAAAAGCAGAGATGTGGGCTCTGTGCCTCTTGCAGGAAAGGAGCTGTCAGGGATGGGACAAGCAGCAGACAGCTCCAGCACAGCCGAGTTACCTTCTCAGCTGATCTGGGAAAAGAGAGCCTCACTGCATTGTGGTAGATAGGAGACAGAAAGAAAAACAAGAGGATAAAAATATCAAATGTAACTCTCATTGACAAGAAATCCTCAGGGCCTTGAAAATATTGATAAATAGCTGCTTGTATGAATCTTTGGCTGCCTAATCCCTTTGGAAAATCTGGTTTCAGCATGATTGCTTTAGCACCTGCATCCCGTTTTTTAAAGGATTTTCTTTCACGTGTTGAGCAGCCTTTTGCAGTCAGCCTTAGGGCTCTGCATCCCATCACGTTTCCAGGTCAGTGTAGGAGGGCTGTGATGAACTCCCAGAGGCCGTGCTTGCCTTCTCACACCATCTTGCACTAGAGATTGTTAAACCAGCCCTCCAAAGCTGTAGGATGGTTTCAGACATGGCACTTTTTTTTTTTTTTTAATAGGGTTTGCATTCCTGATTTTCCTTGGTGCTTTTTGTCATCATTACTGCATCTCACAAACCGTTTCCCCGCTTTCTGCTGCATAACCTTTGTTACTCATCTCACTGATGACAGGTTTTCTAAGGAGTTCACCCTTTTCTTAGACATCCTCCAAAAATGCAAGTTTTCTGAGGATATTTTATGCCATTTTCTTTTTTTCCCCACATTGAGCCTGTCAGAGTGGACTGAGGCTTATCATTATTTATGTGGCTGCACTCAGCTGACCTGCAGCCTACCCAGCTGGTAAGCTGCTGAGATCTTTGTAAGAAATGCTTGTTCCAACGAGCATAACATCTTTTTTTTAGTTCAATCTGAGGTTCACCTTGTGGTTTTCATCAAGAAATGTGTTACCAGTGGGAGAGACCACCTTAGTTTCTGAGAGAAGAGGGGCAGGGGGGGTCTCCCTTCTCCAGGTAGCTTTAAGGGACCATGCAGGCAGAGTGGGTGACACCCGTCTGAAAATGAGACTTTTGCATCCCCAGGGGAGCCGTGCAATGTATGATTCTAATTAAAGAGCACAGCCTATTCCCCTGCTCTGAAAAAAAAGCAGCTTGTTCGTAGGAGAAAGATCCAAATCTGTCTTAACTTAATGAGGGACTTCAAAGGGGAGAGGAGCTGTAGAAGCTGGAGCACAGTACCGGGAAGAAGCATCAGGTATTTAGGGAGGCCAAGCCCCTCCTAGGTGGTACCTGCAGTGGGGTGCAGGATGAAGGGAGAGCTCCTGCTTCCATCTAATCTTCCTACAAGTGAAACCAAGTGTGGTTTTTCTTTCTTTTCATCACGTGTGCCTTTTACAGACATGTGCAACCCTGTTGCCTGATTTGGATGTTGTGAGTAAATACTGGAATTTGCATGTTACCTTAAGCTGGCTTGAGCTGAGAGTGATTTCAAAGTAACTGGATTACAGCGGGGTGCTCGCCGTGGAGGGGTGGGGCGAGGCCGTAGATCTTCATGAGCCCCAGCTCCCAGGCACCTTCCCCACACAGCTGGAGAGTAGAAGAGCAGGGCAGCCTTCCTGCCCCCCATCCCTCTCTCCCAACCCCATAAGCCAGCTGGGGTGCAGCTACTCCTGTTAAGGGGGAGAGTGTGTCTCCATGGGGTTCAGGAAGGCTTTGTGGCAGGTCCTGGGATGGAGGGTGGTGCTCCCTCCAGGCAAAGGCTTGGGGTGCCTGGAGGGAGGTCCTGTAGGTGCTGCCCCAGGGTAGGACTGGGGTTGGGCTGCTGGATGCGGTGGAGTTGTTCTTGTTAGGAAGCGAGTCCTCCATGGTGTTTTAACCGGCAATCTGGAATCAGCCACTTCATCCTTCCAGGAAAAGCTGGCAAATCCTCCCCATGCCATGTCACTTTGCCAGGCCACCAGCTGTCTTTTCAGTCCTCACGCATTCTATTTTTTTTTCAGGAAGGAGAGGAACACAACTCCTTTTTTACCCAGCCCTTAGAACTCAGAGATTTTACAAGGAAAGGCAGGACTGCTAAAAATCATCTGGTCTCTTATTTCCCAGAAGGATCAGTGATCTCTTGACAGGCGTGTTGTGCGGGTCTTCACATGCAGAGAGCCCCAGTATTCTGATGTCTTGGTCCATCTCAGGTGCACAAGACACTAGGGGAAGCAGCAGACTCATACCCCACACCACACTTGAAGTGCAGTGTTTTGACATAGTATTTTTAATTTGATGACTCTCTCTGTAAGACTGGGAGCATGTGCAAGCACGCCTATATTTGTGTATGTTTGGCAGCGGGGAAAACACGCACTATTGTATTTTCATTTGAGATTGAGTGGATGTTCTCTGTTACACTTTCCAGAAATTGCTTCAATTGCAAAGCAGACCTGGTCTGTGCTCCTTCTGTCCTTACTTTCCTGACTGCTAGTGTTGACATCGCTGTAAGGGCACAGCAGAGATTTTTCACGTGCCCCAGACATCGTTGCTGAGGTGTGCAGAGAAACCACTGCATTTTGGCTGATGTCACTGGGCTCTTCCCCACAGTGAATTATCTGAAGTCAGGCAAAAGGGGTGAGGAATCCAATCAGATTATTTTTATGGTTACAGTCTTGTCTGAACAAATGTTTTCTTGCTGTCTTAATGGTTAGCCTGGCTTCAGTGATACAAATATTTACCAGTTTATAATTAACAGCTGAAACTACAGCCTACATAGTCACATTATTTAAAGATGAAAGTAAAGGGGATAAAAAAGTTAACATTTAAAGATTAAATTACTACAATGACTTTGAACAGGATTGTGCTCATGTTTATACCCAGTGCTGGCAAACCCAGGGAGAGCTACTGACTTGGACTGGTGGTGACTGGGAGGAGGGTTTGGGCTATTACATGCACTGCAAGTGTATTGATGTACTCTTTGCATTAATCCTACCTCCAGGTTTGTTCATGATTATGTTTTCCATCATCTCTATGGATTTCTTTGGGTTGGAAGCAGTGGAGTCTGGATATCTGATGTCATATTTTGGTGTCCTTCAAATGGTAAGTGAAGTGCAAGTCCCCATCTTAGATTAGCTTGCCACACTGCTACTTGATTCACTACCTTCTGGACACATGCTCTTCCAAATCCAGGTGCATTACTGACAGGCAAATCCTAGCTCTGCCACATTGCATTTATCTTCAAAAAGAGAAGTGACTCCAAATTTATTCCGTTCCTTGGAATGGGAAGAAATTGGAGCAAGGAGTGTCCTGAAAGCCTTCTCCCCCTTGTCCCTCTCTGTGGATCTTTAAGCTGTAGAGCTAAAATTTCCTTGGGCTGATATGTCCTGGGTTTTGTAACAAAAATTACATTGAAGCCAAAGTGCCTTGGCTGAGGTTTTTCTGGTGCAGGTTAGTTGATTTACATTTCTATAGTAGCACCCTGTATACTCAGGAAAGCAGACGATCTTACTGGTGTTTTCACTGAAGATCCCTTCAGTGTAGAAGAACTTGTTTCTACTGCATGGAAACAAGCACAGCAAGCTTGTAATTCCCAAAAAAGAGAAAAAAACCCAAACCAAAACAAAGCACAGAAAGGTGGGTGACAGAACACACTTAGGAGACTAGGAAAATGGGTAAAAGGGAAAAATCAGCTGAATTAGGCAGTAATAGGGTAAAAAATGTGCTGAGTTGTACTATAGCAGAGTGTTCCTTTTGGAGAAAGAGGCTTAATAATTTTGAAGAAAGAGCAGCAGGTGGTTATAGCCAAGCCCCAAGACAGGAATGCAAGCTACGCAATATCCTGAAGGACAGTGGTCTTGTTATTAAATCTTCATTTCCTGGGCATTGCCACAGATTTCCTGTGGGAACTTCTCATTTGGGGAATGGCACCTTAAGCTGCTCCCTTTGTGATTTGGACTTGGCACGGTGTTGCCAGCCACTTGGCCTCTGGCCTGATCTCACCAAATCTGGGCACCTTGGTAGAGCAGCAGACAGACATGGCTGTAGGTCAGCAGCTGGATTCTGCAGTGTAAACTGGCTGGAGCTGAGGAGATGGTGCCTTTGCCATGTCCCTCCTGTGAGGGTGGCTTTGGACTAGTTGTCTCTTGGTCCTGTGAGCATCTCCAACCTGCTGAATGCAGTCCCATTCAGCCTCTTTGGAAAGAAGACCAGTTTGCCAGTGCACAGTAGGGAACGAGCATGAAAAGTGGGGTGATCAGCATCTGCTTTTCAAAGCAAGCATCTGACCCACGTTCCACTGCTTTCAGAGGCTTTCTCTATGTTAGCCTTGTATGCTGCCTCCTAGACCAGGATCTGCAGGAAGCACTCAGGTTTTAGAGAGGCCAAGTCACTGTCCCATAGCTTCTTCCCCATTTGAATGCAGAAGGACTCCCCACAGCTGGGCTTTTAACTTTAGACATACCAGTTAAATCCCTGTTGCACAGGCAGAAAGGAAAGCTGGAGGTGCAGCATGGCTGTGGTGTGCTTGTTTAGAGCTGGGTAACGTGGGCAGCAATAGCTCTTGTAAGGAGTGGCTTTGTGTGGCTAGATGGAGCCTGGACACTGCTGTTAGGTCCAGGATATCTGTCTTGAGGACACTGCTGTTATGTCTGGGATATCTGTCTGCCTTCAGTGCCATTGTTGCCCAGGTTAGTTTGGTTGAAACTGCTGTAGATAAGGTTACCTCCTCTGCAGGGCTGGACAACCCACACAGAGACACAGCCCTGGAAGATATGGGAATTACAGCATCCACTCTGCTTCCTCGTGGGTGATCAGATGCCAGGGCTAACCAGGGACCTGACCCTTCCCAGAGTCACAGAGTTTCATCCCACAGAGGCCAATCATTCCTATTGCCACAATGCAACCCAGCTGGGCCCTGCAGGCTCAGGTGCAGCATCTACTTTGCTGGGGAGTCTTTGCCTTGGGACATTTGACACAGAAACTGGCTTTTATCAGCCAGGCAGTTTTCTTTCATACATCCATGCAGTTTCTATCCATATTGCTAAACCTATTTATATTTATAAGATATTGCTACAGTGGCAGTTCCAAACTCTACTCTGGTTTATGCAGGACAAGATCCTCAACTGGAGCAAACTGAACTCTCACTCTCTGGCTTTTAAAATTATTGTAAGACATCAGAATTCATGTCTTTACTTACAAGTATCTGTCTAGAACCACCCAAAGGTCTCTCTTGTGGATGGTGGCTGGGTTAATGTTTTATGGCTGTTTTCTGTTTGGGTTGCTCTAGCAGGCAGGGAATAGAAGTGTTCTGGCTCTGTCCTGCTGACCCCCAGAGCTGCTTGTGTTGCCTAAGCTGGCATTTCAGATGCATTTGTTTCTGCTGTACAGTGAATTGATACTGCTTCGATACAAATGCAGATCAAGGTGCAAGTGAAATCCACCAATCTGGATAGGTGAACGATGATTAATATCTGCTGACTGGCTTCCCCACTTCACTGAGTAAATGATAGCTTTATTCATAAGGCATATAATGTAATTTCCAGTGAATTTCATCAATCAGATACTCAGCTTTGGGTTTTTTTTTTTTTTACTCTTTAGTTTGTCTGTCTGTAAATCATTGCGAGGATTTTCTCATCCTCTAGGACTTGCCCTGAGCCCTTCAGAGGAAATCTGTTCCCCATGTTTGCATCTTTTCCTGGGCTTGAAAAAGATAGTGTTTAAGGACTTTTATAGCTGGAAGGGAACATCAAAGAAATTAAGGGGGAAACTATTTCTTTGTGTTAATGTGGTTTCTATTTTTTAAATTAAATATTCTTAAAACTTACATATTCCTCTTACAAAAGGCAATGTTGCAGCTCCCTTTCCCAGCCTGATCAGCAATCCCAGGATGACTCAAATAGTGATGGTGTCTTCCTGCCTTCCTCTCCCACCCCAAGGATATTATGCTCCAATTGCTTAATCTAGTTTTTCAGCTTCCCAACCTCATTTGACCTGCTGTGGTGAGAAGTGGCCAATGCACTGTAAGAATCTGTTTCTCCTCATTCCTCTCATTCAAGCCATACTGCAGAGTACCTAGAGAGGGGATTTTAAGAGGCTTTGAGTCAGTCCACCTAATTTTAAGTAGGCAACTCATTTTGTCATTGCTATTGCAAACAGCTCTTTGTGTGGGGAACCAGCACAGAAACACAGACCCTCTAGGAGGTGAGGTGTTTGCCCTCTTTGCAGATGAAGGATGTTAGTTTAGACACACTAATTCAGCCATCACCTGAGGGATCCCATCCAGAGCTCCTCAGCCTCACCTCATCCTGTGGTGAGCATCATCTAACAGCAAGGCATATGGGAAAGTTTGGGCAGCTTGAAGTGCAGTGAGGCTGGGAAGGGGGCTCATGTCTGGGTCAGGACACAGCCAGGCAAGATCAGAAAAGGGGATGTGGGAAGGCAGTGAGACAGCTTTGAGACAAAGCAATGTCTGATGAGGAAACAGAGTTGTGGCTTAGAAAATGGAATATGACCAAGGCTGGAATGGACTGATGGGGAAATGAAAGTAGCACATGGGGGTAATTCAAGCAATCCAGGTCTCTGCAGTGATTCTTGAAGCACCCTGAAAGTGTCGGTTATCTGATGAGCTGGGACTGTGCCAGGTGAAGAGAAGTCATGTGGGAGATAACAAAATGAGGAGAGGAAGGCAGACAGCAGGAGAGCTGCCTCTGCACCAGGCAGCCTGCACTGCAGAGATTTCCTTGCTCATGAGGTGCTTGAAGCATCTTTATCTGATCATTGGTAGGTCTCCAGGCAAGAGTTATGAGAGCCCGTCAGGGACACAATCCTTCTGTCCTCCAGGGCTGGGCTTCCAGAGCCCTCTCATTTGAGAAGCCCTGCAAATGAGATTTCCCTCATAGTGAATGCCTGGCAGTGTGAAATGCCATTCAATCTCCCTCCAGAGAATAATTAATGTCATAATGGTTTAAAATAATTGCACTGTGAGTAATAGGCAGAAATGAACTTAGACTCCTTTTTTTTTTTTTTTTTGGATTTGCAAGTGTGATAGCATGGAGACCTTCCAGGTGTAGTATGTGGCTTGGAAAATGCTGCTGGAGGATTAGGCAAGTGAAAGACCTGGAGTCCCCAGTTGGTATCTCAAGTCACATCTGATGCTTAGATTTCAAACCACAGGAGGGGGTGGGGGAAACTTTCCTTTAAGAACTTTTTCTCCAAAAAAAAAACCCAAAGCAAAATGCACCAAACAAAACTCTGGGTGGGACAAAGGGGGAGATATTTATAACCCTGAGGATCATGAAATCATAAGACATCTGTTCTATTTACTGCATTTAAATTTGTATTGTTATACAAACTCCACCTCTAGCTGTGCAGCTTCTGGAGGGACAAGTTGGTACGGAGTGATCTTGAAAAGATGAGAGAGATTCCTGGAGGAGAGATTTACATTGCGTATCATCTTATCACCAGTCTGTCCCTCTCGCTTTTTTTTTTTCTCCCTACACAGCAAAAGAGATGATTAAAGAGCCGGGGATTTAATTACAGCCAGGTATGCCTAGGGGGAAAACCCACTTAGTGAAAGGACCTTGCAACAACAAACAGAAAGTTCTCCACTTTCCTCGCTTTGAAGGATTTATATCTGTGGAGGGGGGTGGGTTGGAGGGGGAAAGAAAGTGATTAGGCTGGAGTTTGCAAAACACACCATCCTCTTCCCCCTGCTTGGCAAAGTGCTGCCTTCAGCAGTTTGGTCCTCACCATCAGCCCTCCTTCCAGTCCCACCGCCCTCCTGTTCCTCCACAAGACTGAACTACTCCAGCGATTTCTGGCCTCGCTGTGTCACTAAAGCAGCTCCCTTTTGCCCCAGCATGGGCTTTGCTAAATGGTGTGTCTAAACAAAGCCCACGGGCCTTTTCAGCCTGTGCAGCAAAGGGCCGTGGGCTGTGCTGACCCCCGTGCTCTGCCCCAGCAGGTCCCTCCCAGCCGGGCTCGCCTGGGAACCGCCAGCCGGCACAATTTCAAAGGCGAGATACGGGTCCAGGGCGTGGGAGGCTGCTGCTGATGTGAATCATGCTATCTGTGCTAGGGATGGGGCCCTGCATCTTCTCTGCGAGGCTGTCCCAGCTTATCTGGCCTGCTGTGTCTGCTTTCCCACCTTCTCACAGCCTCTCGTTTCCACGCTGTCGGCTGAAAGGGAACTGATTTTGTTGCTGGGCTCTGTCAAGCTTTCAATCAGTGCTGATGGAGGAATCTTTAGTAACAGCCCCACGTCCTCTGAGCTCAGCTGAGCATCTGCATAACTCCTCTAAGCTCCACAGGTGGGGTCAGCTTCTTGCAGGTGCCAGTCAGATCAGCAGCGGCTCTGTGCAGCAAGGCTGGTGCTTCAAAAGTCTTCCAAAAACTAGTGCCTGGGACTTTCAAATACAGCCTTTTCCATCCTGCAAGGGGCTCCTGAAATTTGTTAGAGGTTAGCAGTCAAATGGGTAATTGGCCTTTCTGAGCAAATGGGAGCAGCTGTTTTCCCAGAAACCAAATGCAGTGATAGAGGCTAGAGAGTATTTTTCCATGTGATTTGCTGGACTAGTATAACAAATCCCCAGCTTGCTGTATGCAGAAAATGATGAACAGAGATTTGGCTGTTCTTATGCATTTATTGGGAGACTTATTTGCCTTTAAAGAAGGAGAGGGGGGCGGAAAAAAAGATGAGTTGGTTTTTCCTGTGACATATGTACACAGCCACAGGCAGTGCCTGTTATTTCACTTGCAAACAATTTCCTCTCTCTTTTGTTTATTGATGGCAGAAGGCATTCCAGCCAGGTACACTGGCTCTTCCCCGACTTCAAAGGAGGTCAGGTTACAAAGGCAAGCACCATCCAGGCAAAATGAAATGCAGGAGGGTAAGGCCCATCGAAGTCGATCTCAAGAGGAGTTTCTGTGCAAGGAGAAGCCCAGAACACACCAGCAAGGATAAAAATACGAATAAATTCCATTTATCAGCTACTAGAGTTCATCCATGGGAGTGGTAATGGCTAAGTCACCTGGGGTGTCTCCGCTACCTTCTGGTAAACCAGTAGCACATGTCCAAAATCTTACATGAGAGAGTGCACATGAACCACCTTTCACATTCCCAGGGTGCTGCTCATGCCAGCCCAGGAGCTCTGTGCTCAGGGAAAATTGCAGACTGGAAGTAATGGGTTTTCAGGTCTAAATTCAGACTGGAAAATGAGGTCAGACATACTGGTGACTGGAAATATTATCTTGTATTATCTAGCATCTAAATCAAGGCTCTGTGTCCAAAATCAGGATGATGGGCCTTGCCTGCCTGGGACTCATGTCTGGATCAGCAGTGCCCGTGCTGGGGAGGAAGGCAGGCAGCCCAGATAGCCCGTGGGGGGACTGCCATCTGTACAACCTAAGGATTGCTGCCCAGCCCCAAGGGGAAAGCAGGTGACTTGGGCTCATTCTTGCTCTTGGAAATAGTCCCCTTGCCAAGCTGGTTCATTCAGCAGTGATGTTTCACCTTGAGCTTTTTATTGCCACAGTCCAAGTGGTGGGAAAGCCCATGGGGAATGCCAGCATTGGCACAAGGACCGTGTCTCTGCTCTGCTGACTCTGAGGACAGCTCATTCTGCACATCTCCAGGTCCTGCCTGCTCAGAGCCTGTCTCTGCTGCAGTGGTTCTTGTTGCCTTCACGCAGGGGCTCGTGTGCAGTGATGGCAAAGTTTTTGGGAGTGCCACTCCCATGGCCATCAGACCAGGGATGTTGCTGATGCTATACCCTAATGACTCAAGGAAGGGCAGGGACTGGGCTGTGCCTGCATGGTGTATCCCAATAAAATATGCCATTCAAGTCTGGGCAAATTGGGAAATGTTTCCTTTCCTCCAGTGGCTCAGCAGAGCCGAACTGGGGTTCAGGTGATGCCACCCTTGAGTCAATCAATGCCCTGTGACAAGGCTCAGCCCCCATCCCATGTGACTCAGCACAGCTCCAGCTGTAGGAGGGACTGGGAAGTTGCAAAAAGTTAATGACGATTCTCCCTTTTTGGAGCACTCAGCTTAATGGAGCGTCACTCAGTGATTTCCCCACCCAACCCTGGAGTAGGAGCTGCTGGGGCTGGTATCAGCCTCCTCTCATGGCAAGGCTTTTGGCCAGGATGACTCAGGTCACCCTAGATATTGTCCAAGCCTCATGCCACAGCAGGTCCATCAATGTCCTGGAGGCTGCTTGACAGGTGATATGACCCAGGAAGGACACGCAGAGCCTGTGCCAGTGGCACGTAGCAGCTGGGCACACATGAGCCAAGCTCTCAAGACCTGGACAAAGGCAGGGGCAATGACAAAAAAGGTGGCAGGAGCCAGAATGTCTTCTTGGTGTGATGTGCTCTCGTGTCAAAAATCCTTTGTGCTCTGAAGCAAAGTGAAGGGTTGAATTTTGATGGTTTTCCATTCAGTTGTATGCTGTTGGAAATATATTAATTTTGTAGCTATTGTTCTTTATGTCAACTTCATTTTCACTCCAGTGCTATTTTCTTTTTTTTTTTTTTTTTGGACTGGTTATTATAGATTAACATATCCTTTCTGTTTAATAACTTAATTTCTCATTTATTTTGCGCTCATTTCCTTTCAGCTGATTTTGGGTTTCTGCCTAAGGACTAACACTGAGTGTAGTGTAGTGTCATTCCTGGTACACAGGACCACTGAAGTTTTCTCCATGTTGCACTACCACAGAAATAAAGTGAAACAAAGCATTTTGAACTAGAGCTCTTCTTTCAAGTCAGAGGGGTTTTCATTTGGATCAAACAAACTCTTTCAAGGCAGGAAAAACTCAGTAGATTCTTATCAGTCCTTTCCTTGTTTTGTAGTCAGTCAGAGTGTTTAACCATCATCTTTTCCAGCCTCTCTCCTCTCGTGTCCGCTTGGCCCAGGATCACCTGAAGTATGGGAGATGCTGAAAAGATAAATAAAAGAGGGAATCCTTGCTCTGCAAAATTCTGGAAAAGTCAAATAATTTCTGGGATTTTAATATTTCACTCTTCCCTCCCTCCCCCTCCCACCAAGTTTTTGTTTAAAATCTGTGGAACCAGTTCCCCATCCTTTACATCTGCGTGTACTGCTGGGACTGGATATTAGCATCTCCGTCATACTTCTTTCCTGCCTAAAAATTATGAACCACCCAATTTGTATATTTATAGTTAAAAATAATGGCAAGAAAAGGTACAGACATTTTCCTCCTTTGCCTAAAAATGTACAGTTTTTTCTTTGAGAGGTCTTGCCAAGAATGAAGACTGTAGTATTAACTGTATTTCACAAGCACATCACAAGTTGTATCTGCAAGCATTTTTAGAAAGTTTCAGTCACTGCTGCTGAGTAGGCAGTGATGGTAAACTCAGGCATGCACTCTGAGTAAAACTTCCAGCTGATAGCATGGAACTCTCTCTAGAAAGCAAAACATTTGAAATAATGGATCACGCCTTCCAGTCATTTACTGTGGCAGTGAGATCCTTTTTTTGTCAAAGAAGCCCTGATGGAAGAACCTGTTTGCTTGAAGAAAGTAGCAATTCTCTTTTGAATTTGTTTAAATTACTATATCAGGCTTAATGGTGCTTATGTGTTTCTTTGCCAGGTTGTCCAGGGTTTGCTGGTTGAGAAACTTGCAAGTCACTGCTCAGAGATGACCCTGCTCAGACTCAGCGTCTTCATCTTTGCTGGCGTGGGCCTAGGCATGGTGAGGCGGGTGGGAAATCACTCATGGTGCCTTTAATAACGTCACAAGCAGTGACACAAGGTCTGTGAGACCTGGCTGTGAGCTCTGCCCCTGGAAATGCCACCTCTGACTCTCTTGGGTGGTCTTCAGGGCAGGGAAAACCAGCTCTCCTGGGCCTCTGCGCAAACAGAGCCGCGCTCAACGTCAGCATTGCGCCAAGCCGTGATAAAGGGTGTGAGTAATAGCTCTGGGGATTAAAAAATATATTATAAATCTTGCACAGAAACTCGCTAAGTCCCTCCTGAGTCACCGGATTGGCACAGAAATCCTGGCCTGGTCTTGTCAGCAACTGCATTTCCTGGACTACCCAGAAAGTAAATGAAGATTACGGTGGGGAAAAATCATTACAGTTGTATATTGCAGTGAGATAGCAGAGGTTGTGCACTCTCCTTTTGGGGCTTTATTTTTGTCTAATCAACATGAGAGTATTTGGGGAAGGAGGCAGCAAGGCAGTAATTTTGTTCCTCCATTTTGGGATAAGTGATGTTAGCTGTTGCTGGTTGTGTCTGCATGGGCGACGGTTGATGCCAATCTCAAACAGTAATTGGAAAACTGAGTGGATGTAGCTGTGCTGGGAACTGTGTTTGCTCAGATAAGCCACATTCAGGGCACTGATAGCTCTGCCCAGGCCATGGGGATGGAGGAAAGGTGCTTGCAGTTCCTGTCAGTGCAGTGGACCCAAAGGACAATTGAGCTGCATCAGCCTTTCAACATTCCCTGCAGGATTTGGCCTTGAGCCGTGCTGCCAGGACACTGGCGGTGCTCCCACTGCTGCAGGTAGGATGAGTGCCATTCCCACAACCATACCACAGCTGTGGGGAGGTCAGGGCCAAGTCCTGGAGGGTGTTGAGGTTTGTGGCTCCCAGCTACATGGATGAGATGAGGCACCTACACACCTTAGCTAATCTGAGGCTAAATCATGTCTGAGATGAGGCTGCGAAGGGAGGATGGGTGCAGACCAAGGGTTGGCTCTGCAGGTGGAGTGTGGTCCCTCTTCCTGGAGCTTTTGAGGCTCCTGGGGATTCTGTCAGGTGTAGAATGTTTGGGAAGGGTCTCTTCCAATTAGCGTCATGCTCTTTGGGCTGAAATCAATATGCCCCCTTAACATGGGACATCTTCACAGAGCTTTGATGCTCCTGACAATGGGCTGGGAAGGACTTTGAAGGGCTCCCCATTGTTTTTTGGTCATGGGTGGGAGTAATTAGGTGGCACCAAAGTGGACCTGGCCTGTCTGGAGAGATGAGCACCCCCAGCCAGGTGCAGAGCAGGTGCTGCTGGGACTGAATCCCTGTGCTGAAGCCCTCTCCCATGGGAATTAGGCAGAGCAGCAACATGAATTACATGGCTTTTGTGCACTGAGGCATCACTGACCTCCAGGGAAGGCTGGAGTCAGGTGGAGGTAGGGGAGAAAGCCTCGTGGCAGTGGAGAGGCACACAGGGCAGCACAGATGTCCCAGTGCAGGAAGGCTCACATTGGCTGCACAGGGAGGAGAACTAGGAGCCAGGAAGGGAATCATCTTAGAGTTGGTAATTATGCAAGCCCGGAGGGCTGTGGACATCCTAACAGCACGGGCCTGGGGACAAGGGTCAGCAGTGACTTCCCATGAGAGCTATTCATAGGCAAATGCAGCTGTGTTAAAAAGCGCTCTGTCCAAGTGGCTGCCAGGAACACATCCGCTTCTGGGGTGGCTTTCTGTCTCGGTGGAGATGAGGGCTTGTCACAGCAGCAGCCCCAAATGCAGAAGTTATTTGGTGAAGCTTTTAATCCTCACAGCTGCTGGTGGAGGAGCGTCCCACCCGCTGTGCCCTTGCAGCATGTGGCCTCCAAACTCAGCAGTTCCCTCCCTGAAGGATGGAAGTGAGGAGAAAGGCGAGCTGTTAATAAAAGGCACTCCAGAACCCATCCTGGTATCACAGGGAGGGGAGGTGGGTCAGAGCGTTTTTGGAAGGCTGGCACAAGCAGCAGCAGACAGACAGTGCTGCAGCTGGGAAGAGGCTGCAGGATGTTCCCAGCAACAGGCAGCTGGAGAAGGGAAGGGGTGGGCTGGGAGTTCGGCAATACCACCTGGATAAGGAGAGGAGGGAAGAATCAGTGTCTGATCTGCAGATGTGAGCTGGGAGAGCGTGGGCAGGGCTGTAGGAGGGCTTGGCAGTTGCAATGGGGAAGTTTTTCCCCTTGTCTGAATGCATGGCTGTACCTCATCCTGCCTGCATTTCCCAGGCATTTGTTTTTCGATTTATCTGCTGAGACTCCCGATTCTGCCTCTTACCTAAAAAATGCTCTTAGATCTGCTCACCTCAAAAAATCTATTCACCACCCAGCAGCTAAGGAGTAGCAAGGACTGGGCTCTGCCTGGCTCGGTTCCCCCTCAGCCCCAGGGAAGCGAGGAGCCATTTCCCCTTGTTTTACAGGAGACACAAGATATGCCTCTGCTCTTTTTTGCTCACTTGCTCCAGCCCATGAGGGAGTCTGTACAAAGCAGGAGGGATTAAAACTAAATTTTTCTATGAGCTCTGCAATGTTGTCCTGCAATGACATTTGCCCTAGCAAGGAATTACTCTTCTTCCTTTTGTTTATGTACCAAATACCTGTTCCTCTGTCTTTGTTCTCTGGTTCCTTAATCAGAAGTGCCTAGATCTTAACCAAAATGTAAGCAAAGAGCCCCTCTGAGAAGAAAAACCTGGCTGTGTGTAACTCTAGAGGGAAACTAGGAATAAACCTCAACATTTCCAAGTCATTAGTGAGCAATGTCTCTGGGCTCCTCCATCTTCTGTAGCCAAGAGGCAGGGACCAGATCTTAGGACAGAGAACTCCAGAGAATGAAACTTCTGGCTAAACCAGTGACAGAAATATTTTCCAGCCACAATAACACACCTTGAGACATGGGTTAGGGCAGAAGACTTGCAATAAAGGGGGAATTTCCTTTCCATGCCCCAGAGAAAAATCCATTCATTTGACCAGCAGGGCTTGTGAATGAGCTGGGAGCCGCTCCAGCCCTACAGCTTAGGGAGCCTCACCGCTTTTGTTTCAGCATTAAACAGCTGGAGGGATGTCTCCGCTAAGAATATCTGCAATAACAAAATCATTACTCTCCGTAATTATGCTCGCTAATGTGCACTCATGGCCAGAAGACCTATTCCAGATTACTGAATTTGGTGAATTTATTAGCAGGGAAGCAGCAGAACAGGATTAGAAATCCCAAAGGTACGGTGTTACATAATGCACCATGCTCATTTATTTTGACAGGCTCGGTTTAGTTTTAATTATTTATGATAATGAACCAAAAAGCCTTCTCTAGGCTGTTTTGTATAAGTAATGGAAGCTTCCTGAAGTACACCACACACATCTGCTGTTCAACATTTCCTCGGGAGTTGGACAGAAGACAGGGGGAAGGGTGCAGGGACGTCACTAATTCCCAGATGCTAAAAATACCCACAGCAGTGCCGGGGAAACATGCTGCCAGATTGTAGGGTATCGTTTGCTCTGCATGCTTGGAATAATTCACTGCAGACAAATGGCAGGCTGTGAAAGACCCCACAAGGGCCAAAGCCTCACCACCACGTATCATTTGTGGCTCCCACCATTTCCCTAAGTCATGGGTTTGACTCGTGATTTTCCTCCAGGTTGTTTCTTGCCACAAAGTCACCGTTTTGCTCTTTAATGATCTGTGCTGTGTTGTGTCCTGTCCCTTAGGCCCTGATGAGGACGGTGTGGCACTACTGCATCATTGTGGTGCCGATGGTGTTTGCCTTCAACATGCTGGCCACCATCACCGACAGCATGCTCACCAAGGCTGTGCCCTCCTCCAGCACTGGTAAGACTCATCAAAAAGGGTCAGACTGGTATTTTCTCGGTTTTGAGTCTATTGGGCACTTCCCAGCTCCCACCACAGCTACAGAGCGCTGGTGAACCCAGATCTGGCTGGGCACACGATGGCTGTTGGCAGAGCAGATGAACGGGACTGGTGGGGCTAATAGAGGATGGGCTTGAACAACCTTGAGCAAGCATCCCACAACCCAGTGCTCCCAGTCCTGTGCTGCCTGCTGACACCCATAGTGGTGGGCACAGAAAGGGAAGATTTTCTCCAGCTCTCTTTTCCATGAAAAGCCAAGGTATGTTAAAAAAAACAAAAAAAAAAAAGCAGCTGCTCTTCCATTGTGACAGTGTCAGAGAGGGCTGCTTGTTCACATCTTTTAACTTAGGGTATCTTAGGAGTGTATTCTGGATTACTTTTTGCAAACATGCTTTGCCTGATGCAATAATTGCCCCCTTCCTCTGTTTTGGCCTTGTTTCAGGAGAGTTCCTGTATTTCTCTGTGCAAGACAGCAGTGGTAGACACTTAAATCTTTATACCTGGGGCTTTAGTTCTCTTGATGAAGGAAATATGCCTACATTGCTGTCATGGGAGCCTGGATAGAGCTGGCTTAACCTGGTCTGATGTCTTTTGCTCAAGCCCTTTCAGGGCTTGCTCACAGAGCAGGTACTCAAGAGAGTCTCTGCTTTAGCTGGGGCTTTCTGGGATGCAGTCTGCACCCTTCATCTTCCCTAGCAGCTGTCTGAGCAGAGACCTCTGCGCAGACCCTACTAAGAATGGGAGCTGAAGTTTGCACAGCCCATTAGTGAAGTTTATAAAGCACTTTTGAGATGTTTCTGGGTGAAGAGCTTTTCTGAAAATCACTTCAGTAGTTTATTTGTAGAGCTGACCCACTACAACTCCTACAAATGCTGGGAGCCTGTGATTTTCAAGTACAATATTTCCACCTGTAAGGACCATTTATCCCCAGTCTTCACCTCCCTGGGAAAAGTCTCATCCCCTCTGCCCAGCCAGGAAGAAAATTTGCTGCTTCATGACTTGGAGCAATGTTCATGTAAGGGAGAGACAGCGGGGAAGGGCACCAAGCGGCTTTGGGACACACAACCAAGCTGGAATTCATCCAGGCCCTTCTCAAAGGGGTTTTGTGAGGAAAACCAGAGCAGTGCTTAGCTTTTGGAGCCCGGAGGCAAGCTTTGGTCAAAGAGGAAAATGGGTTTAGTTGCCTCACCCTGCTCCCTACTTGCATATGTTGTTAGGCCAGCCTGTGCCTCGGCAGGATGGATGGTCTCCTCTTGGCAGGGCGGGATTGCAGGGCAGGATGGAGGCAGTCTGCAGAACTGTGCAGATGCTCAGGAGTAGGTTGCAGGTGATCAGAGCATGCCATGGGCTACTGAGGGCTTTCCCCTTCCTGACCACCCTGGGCTGATGTTATGCCAAGTGCTACTATAAATGCAGAGTTACAGCTGGCTCAAGACTGGGCATACCACAGAGGGACTCTCTGACACAGAGCTTTGTGGCACTGGGGAAAAACCTCATCTCTGCCACTCCTTCCTGGTCTGTACCTTTTAAACTGTGCTTTTTCCTTGCAATATTTCTGGGGGAAGAGGTACTATTGGTCCTGTGCTTGTTTTGGATATACCCGGGCAGAGGCTGGGGCGAAGGCAGGAATGCCTGACACAGCAGAGCCAGCAGGCTGCCTTTCCACAGCAGCTGCAGCAGTGACAGCGTGGGTGTCTCACAGAGAAATGCAGCCATTAAAATGCCTTCCATCCATCCCTGGCCGTGGGTGGCACCCCGCAAAGGCTGCTCCACCCATACACCAGCCTAAAGGCTGCTCCTTCCTCTGCGAGCCTGACATTGGCTCTGCAAAGAGGAGTTTTTGGTGGTGCATTAGAAACCCTTACCATAACTGTGGAAATCTGGTTTTATGAAAAAGCTTTCCTGTCACTGAGTTGAAAACCTCAGTACTCACTTGCAACAACTTTTAGCTAATGCAAGGATATTTCACAATGAGAATTTGCCCTTGGAAACATCACTTTTGGGCATTGCTGCTGTCTTTTTCTCATGTTTTTGGTCAGCTTCTGCCTGTACAACAAATGGAGGTTTTTCTTTGGGTCAGGAAAAGGTCTTCTGAAGGAGTTTGGGCTGAGCTCAGGTGTCCATCTCATCACGGGGCTGGGATGGATGGGGTGTTGCAGGAGTGTAGCCTGTCCGCCCTTGCTAGACACTGAGTCACCCATCCTTGCATTTTAAATAAGCGTCTCAGAAAGGAGCAGTGGGAGGTGGCCCAGCACCATCCCTTGCACCCATCAGCCTGCTTTAGATCCGATCCAAAGTCACTTCCTTCCGAGGCTGATGCGTTTGGCACTTGCGCTTTGCTTGCTCTCAAAGCTCAGGCTTTGCGCAGAAGCAAAGGTAGCAGTAATGATTTAATTAGTTTCCCTTTGATTTTTTTTTTTTTTTCTTCTCTTCATCTTCAAAGGCAGGAAGAGAAAATTCAGCCCTACACGCACGTGCTGCTCAGCTGGACACATGAGCTGGTGGGAGGGCAGCCCGGAGTCCCAGAGGGGGACTTGCATTCACACAAGCACTCCTTGTCCACCCTGGTCCTTCCCCAAGAATGGAGGTCTTGTTCCTGCACAGATCCCCCCCATTCCTGAGGGAGGGAGGCAGGAAGCCCAGCAGAGCCTCCGTGCGTAACGGGCCCACATGTCCTGATTTTATTTGTGCATAAATAAAATCTCTCTCCTGAGGAGGAGAGTTTGCAGCCAGGCAGGGCTTGGGGCGTTGAACCCCCCAGCTTTGCCTGAGCTTTGCAGGTTCAAAGGCGGCCGCTGGCGACAGTGACCTAATGGTTAAACCCCATTGCCCCATGGGCGTGTGGCTGATCTGGGCCAGCACCATCATCTGAGCGAGGCAACAGGATGTGAGCTGGAAAGGAGTCGCCCGTCTTGGAGAGCCGCCAGCACCCAGCCCTGAAACCTGCGGGAGCAGAGGAGATCTGGGATGGGAGGGGAGGATAGGCTCCCAGTCGGCACAGGTCATGCCAGGTATGGGAAAAAGGAACGGAAAAAAAGAGCAGGGAAGGTGCAGAAGGTGGGACAGCTATGACAAAGAAGGTGAGCATGTGCATTGGCAGAGCTGCGCGAAGCGATGCAGGAAATTTTCTGCTGAGGCGGTGACTTATCCCAGTTAAAGGTCTTGCCTTAAATGAGATCTATCACATGTGCAGCTTTGCCACAGAGCTACGGCCACGCTGCAGAGCTGAGATTCACAATGTCCCAAAGCCTGAGGTTGTCTGACAAGGGATCTAATTTAAGCCCCTTAAACAGAAATAATCTTTCTCAGCAACATGTTGGAGAAGTGCAGAAGGAGAGCCCTGGCTTTTAAGACGATGGATTTCTGCTCCAGAAAAAAAAAAAAAGGAAAGGGAAAAAAGTGCCTCCTCAATCATAAGAGCCAGTTTGGCAATTGCACGTAGTAATTAGTTTAATTCAAATACCTAGAGGGGAAAAAATAATTGCAAAACCTGCCCAGAGAGTTTGGTGGTTATGGGATGGTTCCCATTGGCAAAGGGTCAAGGCAAGGTCCCACCCATCGCCTTTGTGTTCCCATGCGTGGGAGGAGCGCTCGGCAGCGCTTCCCGGGAGATTTCCCTCTCCACATGGCTACACCCTTGGCTTGGGCTCATTGCACAAGTATTTTAAGCACGCTGATAAAAGCCCAGCAGTCGCTGCCCGGCATTACACGAACACCTGGCTGCCTGTTCTCTCTGGGAGCTGGGGATCATTTCCCCGTGGCTGCCCACGTTAAATATCACACTCCTGCTCCACTTCTTGCATCCAGAACAGCATTGTCCTCATCCTTCCTGGCTGTGTGGTGACAGCACCTCAGCATGTGTCTTAGAGAAAAACTGATGCCAGCAGCCCAAATAATCATACTGGTAGTCAAAAAAAATTTGCAAATATCATTTCAGAGCTGGGCACAAGTTTATTAAATACACTGCCAGCTTGCTGTTCCTCCCAGTGTTGGGGGCTAATGATTTGCTGGCTGGCCGGGTATTTTCTGCTCCTCTGAATGTGACAGCTGTCCTGAACAAAGACTGCAGGACAAAGGAGCACACTGGGTGTGTGAGGGACAGCCTTGTGTCCCAGGGGGTGTCCTGGCCATCCGCCTGCACGTGGAAGAAAACCTCGCCTTTGCCAAACTGGAGGTGCTTCCCCATCTGCTGGGTTCCTGTTAAGGATGCAAATGTGAGGGCTGCTGGAGGGGGAACCGGCCCAGCCAGGCGAAGGGCTTGCATATCTATCCAAATGGAAATATCCCCTCTTTTTGCAAAGGGGGGGTGGGGAAATATCTCAGGGGGGTTCTGTCTTTATCTGTGGTTTTATTTATTTATTCTTAAAGACCTAGTTAGGCCTAACCCTCTCACTCCTGCTAGAGAGCTGTTTCTCTGTTTCAGACTAGAGAATAAATGGCAGTAGTAGCTTGGGTGGAGCAGGGCTCACTCAGGTAATTAGAAGGTTTAAAGAATCTGTGTGATTTGCTAGGAAGGCTCAAACGTGACCCTAGAAATTACCTCTCCATCCCTAATCCCGGCAGTAGTTACCAGCCCTGCCAGGTGTGATATTCAGCAGCACCTTGTAGTGCCAAAGGCATCCCTGGACCCTGGTGAGCACCCACTTTGCCTTTTGGGCAGTGCTGTGATTGCCCAGACCACTCAGGGAAGAGCTGAGCTGGCTCGTGATGGAAACTGGTCCCTGTGCCTGCAGCAGTTCCTAACCAGAACAAACCCTAGTTGGACCGCTATAAATTAATGCAGGAAATTATTTGAAGTGATTTGCTACTACTGCAGGGGTGCAGCATCAGGGATGAAGGGGATCTTGTGTCTCTTCTCTGCTTTTCCTTGCCAGGCATTGCTCTCACCCTGTGTGTCTCTGCCATCTCTCCTAGGTGCCATGCTTGGGATTTGCGCCTCAGTGCAGCCCTTGACCCGGACGGTGGGTCCAACCATTGGTGGGGTTTTATATAAACAATTTGGAGTCTCCTCCTTTGGCTATTTACAGCTAATGGTCAATTTAAGTTTGTTTGTTTACCTCTTGAAGAGTAAAATCCCACTGAAGAGATGAAAATCCAATAATACACTAGCAAGAAAGTAATCCCCTTATTTTTCCCACAAAAATAAATTCTTGAGGGCTTTTTTTTTTGATTCTGTAAGCCTAGAATAAAACAATTTGAACAATCCTTCCATTTTGTCAGCATTTGCATCTAGAGTAAGGGACAGATCAGTTTGCAAAGGTCTTGGAGCAATGCTGGAGCAACTGGGGCCATGGGACCTCTGGAGCTATCAGGTTGCTCCCATTAACCCCCTGCTGCAGTGGCTGTTGTGGCAGGAAACAGCCCCCAACCCTCAGCTGTCCTTAGGCAGCATTCCTGCTTGGATTCACTGAAACTGAAGGGGATTAGGAGCCAGTGCCTTTGCTCTGGTTTGGCCTTTTATTTCAGCGCCCTGAAATGCCACCAAGAAAAAACAGGGGGTAAAACACATCTGCTTTTGAGCATTGTTTTGTTGCATTAACTGCATCTCCAGCATTTTCAGGTTAGAGGGGGCACTGAGGCCAAAGGCTTTCAAATGCTGTGGCCAGAGGTTTGTTACATCCACAGCTCAGTCATGTGCAACCCTGCCTGTGCAGGAGTTGCCAGCAACAAGCATCGAGGATGCAAAGCCCCGATGTACCAGGCTGCAGTGCCAGAGCCTCCCTGCCACTTCCAGAAACTGGGCCAACCCTCCTTCCAGGTTTTTACCCCTCCCTGTACTGAGTATCTCTTGCTCTTACTACAGGCTTATGCAATTACACCCTTGGCAACTTCTTCTAGTACAGTCTCCTGTAAGAATTGTGCCAATATTGGGAAGGGGAAATTTCCTGCTGGAAATGACCAAGTTTACAGCAAGTACTTTGTGTGCTACACTCACAGTCCTGACTGCCAGAACTGAGTCGTGTAATGCAGCATTGCTCTCGAGGAAGCCCAGGTTAGTTATTGAGGATTGAGCCTCACAAAAAAACCCAAAAACTTCAGCACTTCTGTCCAAAAAAACAGCTAATTTTTCTCCAAGTTTCTTGGTCCGGGTGCTATAAGAAAAAAGCCTGCCTGCCTCCGTTCTTCAGTTATCCTGGAGAAATTTAACTCTGTCTAGAGACTGCAGAAGTGAAGGAAGAGGGGAGAGCAAGTTCAGCTTGCTTTGCTACAAAGCTGAGGAATCCATGGAGCGTTGGCGCTCTTATTCCGAAACCAAGAATCCAGTTTTGTGCCTTAGCACAGGACTAAGCTATGGGGGCTGGGGAGGACGAAGGGCGTTCGCAGAGAGCAGCATTTTCCCGTGGCAGGGAGCTCCTGCGCCTTCTGCAGCTGCCATTACTGGATTCTGTGGGGAAGAGCTTCCAGAGGAGCACTTCTGCAAGCTATGGTAGGCTTTTCTATCTCCACCACTAACCAGAACTGAACCTCAACACGTCTTCCCTTCCTGGTCAGGAGACAAGGTCAAACACAAGCAGGTTATCTGGGCTTTCTTCACATCCCACTGCCCAGTCCAGGGCACCAAAAAGCCAAGCCTTACCCACTCTTTTTAAGCCGCTTCACCACTGCCGTACCCACAGATACGCCTCAACAAAAGTTACTGCAGCCCAGAGTACAGTAATAAAAAGTGAACATTTCAAGTAATTTATTTGGAATGGACACATTAATGCAAAAGCAATATTAAGACCAATAACTGCTGAAAGACATTCAACAAAATAAATACAAATATAGATACTACAAATAATTTAAACTGTGTTTAACACCGTCAGTGTTGAATCTTCCTTGCATCTCATAAATAGAAGATAATAGTTCACAAAGCTGTGCCACTCAAAACACGTGGACGCTTTGCTAGAAGTCCTGTACGAAAGTCTTTGGTTTTTCTTTATGCATCTCAGGCAAAGCTCAGGGCTCTTTGCTCAGCAGCCACAACGGGCTTGGAAAAAACCAAGCTGCTTCCAGCTCTCTTCTTTGCTTTCCTTCATTGGTACCCTGTCCCATTTCAGTCCAAGACACTCGATCTGGTTTATCATCCAGTGGTATTCTCTAAAAGGTAGCAAGAGGAAGTGGGTTAGTTAACAAGTAGCACAGCAAGGCACAGGAAAGGAAAATGGGGGGCTTTAAAGGGAGAGTAAGCACTGAGCATTTATTTTCACAGATTTTTTTTTTTTATCAGATTCTGTGAGGAAAGCACCGCCAAGTGCCATTTCTTACTGCCCGCCACCCCCACACGGTGCTCTCAGCAGAGTGCAGAAGCGCGGCTGCCGGCAGAAATTCCCCGGCAGGCAGGGAGAAGCGGCCAGCCCCGCTGCGGGGGTCGGGACGGGGCCGCGCTGCCGAAAGCCGGCACTGGGCACCCGGCGCGGTTTCGGGGCGCGGCTCCCTCCGGCCACAAGGGCTGCGCGGAGTTCAGATCACTGTAAGAGCTCTAGCGAAAAGCCCACGAAGTGCCGCGGCAGCAGCGCCGAGGGGCCGGGCGGGCTCACCTGGGGCCGGGCCGGCCGGGCGGGCGGGCGGCTCAGGGCGCCCGGGCCAGCCGCCGCTCCTGGGTGCCCGCCGCCTGCTCCATCTCCTGGCGGCTCTTGAAGTCCTGGATGGCCCGCTTGTTCTGGAAGTCGATGAGGGCCATGGTGATGGAGGCGTTCCAACAGCTCTGGTCCGGACACCGAAAGTCAATCTCCTTGCGGTCTTTGGTGACGATGGTGAAGTAGATGTACTTGCCCGTGCGCTCCACGCAGTCCACCTTGAGGATGGAGCCGAAGCCCAGCTCCTTGCCCTTGGCCCGCTTGTGCCCGTCGGGGAAGAGACTGAGGCTGTCCTTGGTCAGCACCACCAGCTTCTTCTTCCACAGCTGGAAAAGGCTGTCGCTCCGCTTCTCCAGCTCGCCCTCGCGGATCACCTCGGCTTGCATCTTCATCCTCGCTCCCCGGCGGCGGCGGCTCCGGCTGCTGCTCCCCACGGCTGCTCGGGCGGCGATGACCGAGCCGCGCCGCGATGGGAACAATTTATTGCAATGAATCAGCGCCGGGCGCCTTCCGGTGCCTCCCCCGGGGAGCCCGGCCCGCCGCCCCCTCCCGCCCCGCCTCCCTCCCGCCCGGGCCGGCTCCCGCCCGTGCCGCCGTGCCCGCGGCTGCGGCCTGCGGCCCGGGGACAGCGGCGGCTCCTGGGCGCTGCCCCGGGTGGGCAGGCGTGGGGACGGGCTGCCTCCCGCACCGGCTGCCTCGCCGAGGGCTTCCGCTATGCTGCTGCCCCATGAGGGGACCCCAGTCCTGTCTGCCCGCTGCCCTCCCTACCCTACCCCCTGTTTCCTCTGCCCGTCAGGGATAGCCCCCCTGCGCTGGGGAGGAGGCCACCGTGATCTGAGACAGCCCCCATCGTGCCCCTCTGAGCATTCCCTGCCACTTCTCAGATCCCAAATGGGGTGCAGGATGCTCCCAATGCTCTGTTCCCAGGGGCCTGGGTCTGGGCATCTTCACAGCATTGGGTCTGCCCTGGCATCATCTCTATCTGGGGCAGAGGGGCCTGAGCCAAGCCCAGGGTGGGCTTCTGCCTTCTCCTATGGACATCTGGTCTCAGTCCAGCCCCTGGTCACCCCAAGAGACTCTGCCAGGGCCTGACCAAGCCCACCAGCTTCATTTGAGGCCCTGCATCTGGCCAGCTCTGCACCATCACCATCACCCCTTCCTTCATCCTTTCCTGAGGGCAGCCCACCTCTCCAGTTTTGCATTAACACTTTTCCCCTTATTTTTATCCCCTGCAATCACTGGATTTATCCCATTTTCTCCCCCCTAGCCCATTCCCTCCTCTAGGGAAGGCACCACAGTTATAGCCTGGGCAGTGCCCAGCACAATGGTGAAGTCAGGAAAGGCTGTGGCAGCTGGAGGTGATTTTTAAGAGGCATATGTGAGCCTGCAGTCCCTTCCTCTTGGACACCTTTAATTTTGTCATTCTTTCACGATAGTTGACACAGGGCTGATCCAGCTTCCCAGCCATTGCCTTGATGCTGCAGCCAAGGGCAGGGCTGTGCTTAATGAACTTGTTCACGCTGTTCCTCCAGCAGTATTTGCTCAGGTATGTACCATGTGCAGCATCACCCTTTGGACTTTGAGCCCTGTTCTCCATCGCCTTCCTCGAATGACTGGCACCCCTATAGGTGCTTGCAAGGCAAAGCCCAGAGGTGAGCTTACAGAGCAGGGCCTTTGAAGAGGCTGGCAGCGCTCCCAGGGAGTCGGCAGGGTCAGAAGCCCATTTCCCAGGAACACATCAGAGCTAGAGCCAAACCCACTTCCTCTGCAAATCACTCGTCTGCCAGAGTATAGGGCCACGCTTTGATAACTCACTGCAGCGTGCACATCTGTGGGGAGGGTCAGGAAAAAGGTGGGGGGCTGTGTGATGCTCCTGGGCGTGATGAATGAGCCAGGAATGGTTTGGCTGAGCTTTTCAGGGAGGGATGGGCTGCGAATTGTTCTGGGAAGACCATGGTGGCCATCCCTGCTTGTGGGGTAGGGCAGAGGCTGTAGAACATATGTGGAGCTATGACCTGGCATAGGAAGAGCTGCAGGCTTTTCCCTGGGAGCCAGCACTACTTTTCAGTGTGATTTATTTTTTTTTAAGTGAGAGGAACAGCCCTGTAAAACCACTTTCTGACCAAAAGGCCCCATTAAAATAAGGGTGCTGGAGCCAACCAGGAGCAGAGCTGGATATTAAGCAGAAATCAATAGGATATTTTCAATTTGGCCCCAAAATTAATCAGGAAATGGTCTTTGTGCACAGGAAATGGAACACCACTTCAAAAAGAGAAAAAAAAACCCCAAAAACAGGCAGTAAGTCAGGAGAGTACAAGGAACATCTGGAGGAAGGCTTCTGGTGTGGAAAGGCTGCAGGACTTGGCATGTTTGTGCACACCTTGCTTCAAAAGTTCTAGTAAAAGAACCTGAATTTCCTTTTAAAACAAACTTGTATCTGTAGATGCAGGGTCTGAAGACCACTTTGGTCTCTGTCTTTCTGCTTTTGCTTTCATCTGGGTGATTTTTCTTGTGCATTTATCCATCATTTTGAAATATTCAAAGCCTCCCCCAGCTGTCACCTCAGCAAACTCCCCTTAATACTGGCCAAATTAGAAAACTGCTAGGGGAAAAAAGTGAAAAAAATTGCTCACAGTGGAAAAAGGT